TTCAACCAAAAAAAAACAGATAAACATCCTCTTACACTACACTATGTTTCATGGACCAATCTTTAGTGAGGACTGTTCTCGACTATATATTTATTTTCTTAAAATAAGTTAAGAACATTTTCTATTGTTTAATAATAAAGTTTTTTGCTGGAACTTATATCATATATATATCTATATATTTATATAACTATAAAGCAATAATCAGAGAAGCTTCTCAGTTTTCATATTTACTAATACAAATTGTTTATATATATATATATATTTATAAAAGACCATGATATTCTGAGGAGGTTTCTGAACGACATGATTGAATTTGGTTCGAGACTGTGTTACTTGAGCATTTCTGAAAGCTGCCACTGCATGAAGGAACCAGAGATCGGGGTCTTTGGTCCAAAAATCCGGGAGTTTAACGGCCACCTTGGTGACACACTGCATGGAGGTGGGAGCAGTGGATTCTTCTATTATTTTCTTGCGGCGATTGAAGATCAGAATCTGAACGAGAATGTTTGTACGAGAAATATTCTTTCTGGATAAGCGTTGGATCACTGATTGTTCATTGTCGGGGTCACTAATAAAGAGGTTGTGAGGACGGACTCTATTAATAAAGCACATAACTTATTCCAGTATATATTTACTTATACCAGCACAGGGATATCGAGATCATTGTTTTCTAGTTTCACAAGATCACAGCTCACGATTTAAAAACTTCGGCTCGAGCCATAATTCCTTAAACCCGACCTTAAGACCCAATCGTCGACCCAACTCTGACGACAGCTTGTGTTACGTGATTGATAGCTGCAAGAAGATTCGGCTCGACTTAAGGAGTTAGGCCCAGTGAAAATAAAACCGATCTTGGTTGGTTTTAGTCAAGAATGAGGCTCAATGTTGAATCTTGTTCTCATAAGACCCGGAATGCGCCAATTCCTACCATGAAAATCCGCCAAATAGAATATTAAACAGGTTTTTTAACTCAACTCTGTGGAAAATAAGATGCAGCTTGAATCCAAAAGCTCTTGTCGTAAATAAGGCCCAACGACAGCTTAGGCCAGAGTCGTATTTTCCCGATTTTTTTAAATCGCGGGCTCTGAATAAGTGCAATGCTCTATCTCAATGCTCTCAGATACTGTTGTGGAACTCTTGTATAGAGGCCGACTATCGTCTTCCCCAGTATAATATGACCAAATTGGGGGTAAGTTGAAAAAACTCTTTTTTTTTTGAAAAATGATTCAAAACTTAATAATATTGAATTAGTATGTTTATTATTGATTTTTAAAATGATAATACCCCACCAAAGAAAGACTTGAAAAACAACTAGTTAAAGAAAGGATTAAAAAAATAAATTCTTTACTTCAAAAAAATTTCCTCTACCCCCGGACCCCTCCCCACCCACCGGCCACCCCTCTCCAGTTGTTCATTTCCGATTTCGGAAAAAAGTGAAGGTTCTGGATTTGTCACTAAATATAAGGCTTAACTGACAAATGCCGAGAAAACCGATCTTTATTTTTGAAACCCTTCATTTGTTTTATAGCCGAGGTATAATGGGCAAAAAGCTTGGACGTTTGACCCCCCAGGACTAAAGGTGTATATACACTAAAAGCTGTTGTGTCATAAAGGATCAAATTCCATAATTCTTGGGTTTAATAATCTCATGTTTGGATTGAGTTTCTCCATCTGCTAGCTGAGTTGCAGAGCTAGAATTTTAGACCAGGTTCACAAACTTTAAGCAGAGTTAAGTTTTCTTTCGGGGAGTAAAACTATAACGAAAATCATCAACTTAAATTAATTAACATTAGATTTCAGGCAGAGTATTATTAAATTAGGTTAAGTTTAAATTTGGCAAAGTTTAAGATGGATATAGTAGTAGACGTTAGGTTAGGATTGGTTAGACATGCAAACCTCTGTGTATATCTGACATGTTCTTGTCTGATTCATATTATTAAATGTTTACATCGGTCGCATGTGGTTGGAGTAGTTTGAAAATACATTATGGCTGGATTAGAGTAAAAGATAATATAAGAATAGGCTGAAGAAAATGTTTATAAAAGAATGATTAAAAAATAGAATAAGACAAACATAATTAAGGTTAATGGGAAGGTTTAGATAAAGCAGAGAAGGATTAGCGCCACTTTTTGCAGAAAGGAATGAAATAGGATCTCAATAGGTTAAAACGAGTTATAAATAAAGATAGAACAGGACCTGAGTATAGTTTAATGCTATAATGGATATTAATAGAGTAAAAGATGGGTTAATTTTAATGTATAAATTAAATACGTTTGAATTGGAGTAGGAGAAAGAGGAAACGATAGGACGTATAGTAAAAAAATAGGCGTTTGATAATAAAGTAGGACTAGAGTATAATGAATATTCAGGTATTGACGAATGTTTTAAGGATGAAGACAGAGAGAAGGGTTGGGGAGCGGGGTGGTCTATATAATGGCAGGGTTGAGTTCTATACCAGTGTAAAAGGGGTCATAAACCACAGATACAGGTTCGGTCTATATTGCCAAATTAGGCTTCGAACCACTCAATGCTAAAACGCTCAATTTTGAGGTGAAAATGAGGAAAGGAAAGGAAAGAATGGATCTGCAGGATAGATTTACGATCTTAAACTGAATCCTAGGATTTCTTTACTGCTCCGTAGAATTCTTATTATACGCCCAATTACTCTAACCTGGTTTTAAAGAAACCTGATCTATTCACTCAAAACTCTACAGTGTCTGTTTATCTTCTTTCTTTGCAGTATGTGTCCCAATTCCATATATATATGATCTACTGTTCAAAACTCCGCCGTATCTAAAATCCAACTATTCTCTTAAAAATTACAATATTTACCAAATGGGTTTCACCAATAATTTGACGTAGCGTAAATAATGTGTTAACCTATGACGCCCAAACCCTGACTATGAATCAAATATAAATTTGCCTATTCTGGGTACATAAGTGGGGGGTATTAGCGTGCTAATACGGTAATACGTCGGCGATGCTAAATACAGACTGAGAGAATACTTAAGTTCAGTTTATTGCACTTGTTGTATCTAGTTAGGCAGGGTTCATACTTTAGGCTTCATGGTAGAAAAGGAGGGGGGGGGGGGAGACTTTACAGAATAATTACTACACCTAATAACAATAAAATTATCTCAGAGATGAAGCCTCTCAAGATCTTTTAATGGTCTGAGCAAGGATTAGACAGAAGCAGTTGTTGTTTAGTTCAACTTCAAGTAGTGTATAGCAGAGTTTAAGTACAGGGTTACTCACAAAGGATGAGCCTTCAGTTCAACTTCAAGTAGTGTATAGCAGAGTTTAAGTACAGGGTTACTCACAAAGGATGAGCCTTCGGAGACGACTGCAAAGAACTTATTCAGTCTTCTTTCTTATATTGCCGTTTTCTTAGCTTTAGAAGTTTTTTTGTAAACTTTTAAAATGAATTGCGCCTTAGCTACAAACTCAAATTTTCTAATATCTATAATCTTTGCTACCTGGTTGTTTAAACCTTTGATATTTGAAACTTAGATTTTTTGATCTAACAAAATTAATAGTTTGAAATATCTAAGGTCTACGACATTGGGTTGCAAAGATATAGAGATTAGAAAATCAAAGTGGCAAAGACTCAATTCCTTTGACCTTTAGATTAACCTATATACTAAATTTAAGAATTTCAGTTCGTCGATAATGTTTTATCCTTTGGGGGGTACCATTGTCTCTGAAATCTGCTGGATAAAAGTATTAGTTTTGAACAGTTGTAAAACTATTTAATGTTTGGTAAAGTTGTTAGGTAGTTAGGATAAAAATACTATTTAATGTTTGGTAAAAAAACAGGTTAAAACCGTGTTTATAAATAAAAAGCATTAGTTTAATTGACAGTTATTTCAGAAGTCAAGCTATATGAAGCTGTAGCTGGAGTTTGTTTCGTCAAACTAAAACGACGAGGATGAGCCCAAATAGGAGAACACGTTGCCAGTTGGATAGAGTGTTACTATGGATATGGTTTGAATGAACCCAGTTGGTTTAGATTGTTTTATAATCTTGTTTGTTTAGAGTTTAGAATACCGCACAGCAGGGATTATATCTTTAAATCTGCATACACAGACATCCCCCCCATACAATATCATACCCCCTCGCGTACATAGCATTTCACAATTCATCATGTACATACACAGACATCCCCCCCATACAATATCATACCCCCTCGCGTACATAGCATTACACAATTCGTCATGTACATACGAATATATTTTAGAGAAAAAATACTCATTGTTGTCGACCTCTATCATTCTTTTCTTTTTTTCATTCAAAGAAGATAAAATTGCGTACTTATTTCAATTGTTTTAAAAACTGCTTCTTTCTTTCTGCTCTAATTTTCCGAATCCTGGTTTAAACACAGGTGTCCCTATCTTACCATTCAAACTGACAACCAGACTTCTGCCTTGATTTGTAGACCAATTTAGAGAACAAACCGAAGCAGCATTTACCAGCGTGTGCACGCACTGCAGTGCCAAATGTGGGAGAAAGGGACAGCTAACAAATTTCGAATTGACCAATTCTTCAAATATTAATATGAAATAAAAACTGAACACTTGCCTCAAACTAGAATTTTCTGGTTTAAATTATAGATCTTTAATATTCAAAACTATGAATTCGCCTACATCTAACAGTTGCAAGTTATCCCTAAACTGAAGTCGCCAAACTAAGCTAAAGGAGGAACCTAAACCATATAAAGAGGAGAAACCTAAACAATACAAAGAAAAGGAACCTTAACCTTACAAAGAGGAGCAACCTAAACCACACAAAGAGGAGAAACCTAAACCATACAAATAGAAGAAACCTAAACCTTACAAAGAGGAGGAACCTAATCAATACAAAGAGAAGAAATCTAAACCATATAAAGAGGAGGAACCTAAACCATACAAAGAGAAGGAACCTAAACCAGATAAAGAGGAGAAATCTAAACCATACAAAGAGTAGGAACCTAAACCTTACAAAGAGAAGGAACCTAACCATATCAAGAGGAGGAACCTAAACCATATAAGGAGGAGAAACCTAAACCATACAAAGAGAAGGAACCTAAACCAGATAAAGAGGAGGAACCTAAACCGTTCAAAGAGGAGAAACCTAAACCATACAAAGAAGAGAAACCTAAACCATATAAAGAAGAGAAACCTAAACCATACAAAGAGGAGGAACCTAAACCATACAAAGAGAAGAAACCTAAACCAGATAAAGAAGAGAAATCTTATCCATACAAAGAGGAGAAACCTAAACCATACAAAGAGGAGAAACCTAAACCATACAAAGAGGAGGAACCTAAACCATATAAAGAATGAGAAACCTAAACCATACAAAGAGTAGAAACCTGAACCATACAGAGAAAAGGAACCTAAACCATATAAAGAATGAGAAACCTAAACCATACAAAGAGTAGAAACCTGAACCATACAGAGAACATAAACCATATAAAGAGGAGGAACCTAAACCATATACATGAGCGGAACCAAAGCAATGCAGAGAGGGGAAACCTAAACCATATAAAGAATGAGAAACCTAAACCATACAAAGAGTAGAAACCTGAACCATACAGAGAACATAAAACCAAATAAAGAGGAGAAATCTAAACCATAGACATGAGCGGAACCTAAGCAATGCAGAGAGGGGAAACCTAAAGCATATAAAGAAGTGGAACCTGCATTATATGAGACAATCTTTAATAAAGTCTTAAAAGAAGGAAAGTAAAGATTTAGATCTGAAAAAGAAAATGGAAATAGGAAAAAATCAATACAGTTTATGCATAAACGTGTGCGCTAAAGCTACCTCAATCAACCGGAGAAACATTTAAAATAGAAAATCTGGGGATAGGGGCAGCAGATGGGATTCTATACACTAATTATCTCCCCAGGAATCTTCAAGGGCACCTGTCCATCCCCCCCCCCTGGCTACTGCAATAACCCCCCTTTCCCCCCTTAAATTAAACAAATGCTCCTTGACGTTTTAGTAATTGTTTTCTCTATCTTTTTCGAATCAAATCTATTAAAAGACACCCTTTAAAAAGACACGTCACAGTAAAATACATAATTAAATATGCATCATGTAAATGTTAAATATATACAGAAATATTTAGTAAAGGAATTGAGTCTTTGAAACAAAATCAAATATTTAAACCTCAATATCTTTAGAGCTCAATGTTGTAAACCTTTGATATTTAAACTCAGATTATTTGGTCTAACAGAACTCATAGTTTGAAATATCTAAGGTCTGCAACATTTGGTTCTAAAGATATAGAGATTAGAAAATCAGAGTTTGTGACAAAGACTCAATTCCTTTACGAACATGTTACAAAAACTATCTCAAATAGGTTAAAAGAAAACTTTAGAATTCAATCCTACTCTTTGTAAATTCTTATTTTACAGAAAGGGCATTTTAAAGCTACACAATTTCTAATATACAAACAGTATTGTTGTAGACGGACAGATTGTTATGTCGTCTGATTGGAACGTTTCATACCAAAATATATTCTATGTATTTTACAATAAACCCTTTTTTGAAATTTTGACAATATTACTAATTTTGTAAAGATAGGGGTTTATGATATTAGGTTTCCCCTGAAATTTCAAATATTTGGTTTCTAAATGATATTTTGCATGAGTTTCGAACCAGATGTAAATCTGCAAAATAATGATGTTTCTATCACGCGATATGTGTTCTGTAAAACTATAGAGTTGATTATACTCTACAGCTTAGACGGAGGGAAACTTAAGACTTGTACATGAATGAATTAAGACTTGTACATGAATGAATTAAGACTTGTACATGAATGAATTAAGACTTGTATGAATGAATTAAGAGGCTGAAACTTTTAAAATTTTAAGACTGTGGCTTCAGAGCTTAAAGACGATTCACCTTTTAGACTTTGGATACCTTGATCATCGGTGCCACGGACAACTTTTCCTTGATTTCTAGACTTACAAGTGTGTTCAGTGGATATTGATAACAGTCGCTAAACCTAAGCGACAAACTCTGCATGCGAATGTTTTTTCCATAGAGGTCAAACTTTTGTGTTAAAATATGTGGCTTAAGCACTCAGAGGTTTCCACCCCCCTCAACGCCGCTGAACAGATCTAAGATTTTTTTAAATACCTCTTTATGGTTTTCCATTTTATCCACGAAATAAAACTTAAATTCTTCAATTTAAAAGTTTACACTGTGGAGATTGAGTTTAGCTAAGCGCTATTTCAATTAAAAGTTTCGTCTTCAGATAATATTTGAAAGATATTTCAAAAGAATATTTCTCAGATTAATTCCTTATTTTCCTTTCTTAATGGTTTCATCATTATCTAATAACCATGATTAATTGATGTAAACTTTACAGATTTAAAACCAAGAATTTGTAGACCTATAATTCTTTTCTTTATGTGCACACACAATAAACACGTAACACGTACAGGGACTGTAAGCGTAATTTCTAGTAAATCTCCTTGCAAAGATGGTGATGGCCGATTTACAACGGTAGCCTTGAAACCTTTACCTGATTAACCATGTCACTATTCTTTGTTTGACAGTATTTAATTCTAACAATTTTCATATGTTTTCCTGCAGTATAAATGCGCAAGAGAATCTACAATTAAAAATTATCAACATTGATATCTAATTCATACTTGATCAGGCAAAGCTTTTAAGGTTACTGTTGTGAATTGGGCAGGGTCATCTTTGCATTAAGGTTCACTTGAAATTACGCGTTCAGTCCCTTTAAGTGTCCGTGTCTCATTCATAAATTTTTATTTTGTAGAAAAATGGTACGCTCTCCTCTCATTTCTTTGAGCCCCTATCATTAATAAATCAAAATCTAGTATTCTTTCTTGCTCTATACCAGCCGAACATACACACATTAATACTCCAAACCTGAAATATTTACCCCTTCTCCTCCGACCCTCTCTAGTTTATTTTACGACGGTGTATCAGTAAAGATTGACGGATAATGAAGCGCCAGGATTTAACCCTTATTATCACAACAATAAACAGGTTTGAAGAATTTAAGCATTATGGTTTTATTATCTTTCACAAAGTTTTACTAGTTTTCTTTATTGACTTTAAACGGTTCCTCCTGGATATTGTTATGAAATCAAAATATATTTTATCAATTCTCTTTTTTACCGAAAAAAGTTTATTCTCAAAGAAACGAATAAGGATACTGCAGTTTTTGAAACTATATTTAGATATAATCTGTTTAATCAGAACTCTTACTTTCTTTGATATCATTTATTTTTGCAAATTCCGATTAAAAGTTTTAAAATTTTGACAATGAACTATATATACTCCTAGATAGATTAGATATATCATACTTTATGTTCAAGGACTAAAGTTTTATTTAAATTATTCAATGATGATACCTCACATTTCTTACCAATTAATTAAAATTATTTGTCTTAATTTCTCGGCAGGAGTAGGTGGTATATACTGCTTTAAAATTTTGTATTCTAATGTTTATTTCAAAATAATAGGAAACCTAAGAAATTGAGTTTTCGCCACAAGCTTGAATTTTCTGATCCCTATATCCTGCAACCCAATGTTTGGATATGATTATAAATTCTGTTACATTTTTAAGACATGCATTTTTTCAAATCTCTTTACCGAAACTTACAATTTAAATTAGAACAACACTGATAGTTTCCAAATTCAATCAAACCTCACAAAATCTGATCATTATTTCCTAGTTTCCCAATGAAAACTTTTTAAGAAGTGAAAACAAATTGCTCAAAACTGCTCAATACCCCACAAGAGGAAAAGTATAAACTGCCAAATCATGATGTTTTATATCACGATAAAACTTATAAATACAAATTAATGAAACTTTACCCAAACACATAAAAGTTATTTCAGTCATTAAGTTACTTGATTCTTCTCGTTGTAATCCTGGACCCCTCCTCTTTATGTATCCCTATAGCTGATGAAACTTTCCTTTCTATGTATCCCTGAAATACCTCTTCTATATGTATATCTCAATATATCTCTAGAGCCCGCTCCTTTTAATGAATATCTGAAGCCCCTTCTTTCTATAAATTAGTAAAGCCCTCCTCTCTATGTATTCCTGAAGCCCTCCTTTCTATGTATCCCTGAAGCCCTCCTCTCTATGCATCTCTGAAGCCCTCCTCTCTCTGTATCTCTGAAGCCCTTCTCTCTATGTATCTCTGAAGCCCTCCTTTCTATGTATCTCTGAAGCCCTCCTCTCTATGTATCCCTGAAGCCCTCCTCTCTATGTATCTTTGAAGCCCTCCTCTCTTTGTATCCTTTAAGCTCTCCTCTCTATGTATCTCTAGACCCATTCTCTCTATGTATCCCTAATCCCATCCTCTCAAAAGTATCTTTAGAGCCCTCCCACGTGAATGTGACCCTGGTGATCATAAATGAATGCTTGAGCTAGTGATGTTTACCTGACTATTTGAATGGGTATCTACTGTCATCTTTCTCCGACAATTTCAAGTCAAAACAACCCATTGTATTCCCGTCATTTCCCCCCTCCCACTTTTATTCATCCTACACAATATTTCCCAGAGTTTCCATCAAAACCCATATTGTCCTCTTGATTCACAGTGATATTTTCACACAATCCAAACATTCTCCTGTAATTCACCAAAAATACAAGCTCTAACCCTCTCCTCCCCCCTTCACAATCACAGTGTTAAAGCTTTAACCTCAGCCAATGTGTTCTTAAGAACCAACACTCTTTGACCCTGATAATAATTATGAATATACATGAATACTAATGAATATTGAATATACAATACACAAGAATGAATTTAGTTTGTTTAATACTCTCCCATCCATCAAAACCTGGATCTCTAATACAAGCAAGGTTTATTTTATTTGTTACAACAATCAAGTAGAAACAGTACAAAAACTGGAAGTGTACAATTTCCATAAAAAGTTTCCACATTCGACAATGATCAATAATTTGAAAAGGAAAAGATGAGAATGATCCTGTCTGTAACTAAAAAATAAAAATAATCTGCAGCAGGATGAGAAAAAACTCTCTTGGATTGCAGGATAAGAGTTAACTTTTTTAAAAACTACAATATATAAAAATCCTGCAAAAAGATAAGAATAAACTGCTCTTGAACTCCAGGATTAGAACGATCTGTTTGAAAACTATACAAGATCAGGATCTGCTCTTGAACTCCAGGATTAGAATGATCTGCTCGAAAACTATACAAGATCAGGATCTGCTCTTGAACTCCAGGATTGGAATGATCTGCTCGAAAACTATACAAGATTAGGATCTGCTCTTGACTCCAGGATTAGAACGATCTGCTCGAAAACTATGCAAGATCAGGATCTGTTCTAGTACTCCATGATAAGGTTCGTCTGCTCTGCAAGGAGAGGAATTAACGTGGATATATGAATGTGTGGACTAGACACCCTTCTTCTTACCTTTAAACCCCTTCTTCCCTGTTCTCTATACACATATATTTGGACTGGTGGATTGAATTCCTAATCTACAGTTTAGAAAGAATGATGATGAAAAAAAGCAAAAAAGCTAAAGGGGACATGTATCAATGAAAAGGGGATCACTCTGTCTTAAAAATGGCGCAACGACAGCGACTTGTTTTAACTCTTTCAAAAAACAGCGCCAAAAATGGACAGGCAAAAAGAAGTAAGAAAAACTGGGAACCTACAGTTTTCTGATGAAGAAAGGAGAAAAACAATGCTTCGTACCTTTTTATTTGATAAAA